TTTTTTTTTTTTTTTTTTTTCCAGTCTCTTACTACAAAAGATCCGAGCCGTTTATCTTTTGAATCTACGTGTTTGACGGCTCGATAGATTTCAAAGTATTGGTAACTGATGACATTAGTTTAGGGTAGTATAGTGAATTCTCTGTGTCTTCGATGGCTACAAGTGCACTCTCGAAATTAAAATTTTCAAACACAGACGTGAAAGCAAGATCCTCTCGTTAGGTAAATTATCTACTTTAGATTGCGCATCATTGTCAATTTTTATCACATTGGTTGATCTTTCTTACTTGCTTGTTTGTTTGTGCTAATAAAATTTTGCTTGTTTGAAACTCTTCTGAGTACGGAATCTCGATGATATATATATAAGAATACGTTACTTAAAAATTTGCTTAAACGTGAACGAATTTGCTTCTCTTGGGAAAGTGGACTTAAAATATGCAAACGGCTCGTTTGTAACGTAATATGATAAAGCAGAAATCGTTCTTACCGATACGGGCAATCCTCGTGCGGCAGTACAGTGAAGATATTGGGCCCGACGCTGGAACTCGGGGACCTTTTCGAAATGGCCATCCACGTGACCGCGTAAAATCCAGGCTCCCTCTGCAGGAACTCGACGACGAAGCTCCTGGAATGCTGCATCATGGCCACGGTAGTATTAATGACACTGTAGTTCCAACCGCCGGAGAAAAAGTCCACGGTTCTGGCAGTGTCGACCCCATGCTCGGGGCATATCACGCTACGTTCCTTCGTGTTCGCTGCTGAATAGACGACGATTCTGTTCAGCGTCGTGCATTCCTCGACGTTGTCCAAGGTGATGCTGTAGCCAGCCGTTCTTAAGTACAAATAATTGATGCGCGCGTCCTCGGGCTCTATGAGCCACGGTTCGTTCACGCATTGTGTCGCGGTCAGATCCTCCGTATTGGTCAGGATCTCCTCGACGGCGGCGACGCCAGGTATCATCCGCGGCAGTGGACTTCTCAGGGAGATTTCGCCGCTGGTCCCGCGCAATCGTCGCTCCTCGAGCTTCGTCGAGCACCCCTGCTCGCTCGTCTCCGCCCCTAGCGCGACGAAACGGTACTCCCCCTCGAAATAAAAGTCCCTGTAGTCTTGCGTGACGTTCATCAACGTCACCGTGAACCGGACCTCGATCACGTTCGACGTCAGTGTCCTCAGGACGACACGGTCGCTCACGTTCGAGCACAGGCAATCGCGGACCTGAACAGAAACAGAAAAAAAACTCTGCCTCTTCAGGCACGATTTTCTTCTTCTTCTTCTTCTTCTTTTTTTTTTTTTTTTATTTAATTTTTGTTAAATTTTCACTCCCCTGTGAAGATAATTTAAAAGAAGGGAAAAAGACGTACCAATTCCACACCCTGCCATGGATACTCGGCGACGACCAACTCCGCCGTGCCGAATTTCGTAGAATCGCCGATTCGTCGATCGCAAGTCCACCGATTGACCAGCGGGTCTACGTACGAGGAACATCCCTTATCTCCGAACGAGGCCTTGCTTATGGACAGTTCTATCCTGTGGTCCGGCTCGGCCTCGAAACGATACACACAGCTAACGTTCTGCGCACCACCACGACCGTAAAAGAATACACTTCTCGGCGACGCGAATTTCCCTGCCTTGGCAGGCGATGGCAGTAGAGAAGACGAAGAGGATGAAGAGGAGGAGGAGGACGAGGAGGATGATGATGACGACGACGATGACGACGACGACGACGACGACGAAGAGGACGAAGAGGACGAAGAGGATGAAGTGGAAGACGTGGATGAAGCCGATGCGAAGCCGAACACGTGGTTGCAGGAGGCCGCCTCGTGCACGAACTCGTAACGCAGTACAAAGCTTATCGGATAAAGTGCACTTCCTTGGCGCAGTATGTGCTCCAGAGTGAGATCCCTGCCGGTGGAGACGTAGCTCTCCGCGAGGCTGCACGGCCTCGCGTGGCGACTTCCGTTCCGCAGCAGACTGTGGTCGCAGAGACGCGGCGTGTCGTCCTTGCAGAACTGCCCCAGCAGAGTGATATTCTACAAACGACGATTAAATTATCGAAAACATTATCTGGACAGAAAGATATTGGAGAGAATGCTCCCGTTGTCTTGAGAGGAAAATTGCCAAAATTTTTCTCCTCGTGAAAATCAATTCGCGCACCTTACGCGTAGGAATTAATTTATCTAGCGCGCGATCACCGTCCCAGATGAGGAGCTTCGCGTTGCAGTCGGAGGCGACGTCGATGCTCGCCGCGGCATCGGCACTGGCAGCGTAGTACTTGACGAACGACAGCCAAACGATCTCGTTCGGCTTCCCCTGGAAATGGTAACGGCAGGTCGTGTTCGGCGGCAGTGAGTGTTTCGGATTCTCCAGGACGCCGGACGAGCTCTCGTCGCTGGATATATAAAAGTCGCAGTTGTTGTTCTCCTTGACGAAACTCCGGGATTTCTCGTCCACGAACAGCACCTTTTTTGAACAATCACGGCGGATCAGCGGGCGATCGACGATCAACGATCGAGGCGGTGGAACGAAACTGCAGTTGGAAATCCGTTGGAGAAATTATTACCTGAACCTCGAGCTCGAAGCCGGGCAAGAACGACAAAGGAACAGGATGAAAGGGATTGTCGTACGGAGACGTGTGAAACTCCAAAAGCATCGTGTTATGACTGCTAACTATGTCTGGCACCGCGTCACCTCCACAAAGTCTAACCAGCACCTTGTCGGAGGTTGAGCCGCCGTCGTACACTGTCAAGTAATCTTGCACCACGTTGCATTGATCCCAGACTCTGTGTGTTGGAAAATAAATTAGGTCGCGTGATAATCATTCGCTCGCCTCGAGGACATTAACAGTATGTGTGTATCATAGAGAATCCAGTGGACAATACACATAATCCATTGAGACTGAGCCAAGAGGCATGTGATTAATATATCGGATGAAAACGAACGCTATATAGATAGTGTTTCAAGCATGACACGAAAACTGAAGATATAACGTACGATATTTTCAATATTCAAAGAGTCATCTGTTATTAGTGGAGATTTAACATTGGACTTGTAACTGATTACATTATGATTTAAGTTTGTTGAAATATTCACTGTACTATTAACATTGGAACGTTAATCGTTTCAATGGAAAGGAACATGTTCCCTTTACAAGTAATAATTATACAATTCAAAGAGCTATAGAAATATTATATAACTCGAAGAATTGTAGAATTATAGAAAGAATATGCAAGAAGTTTCGAAGTTACTCGATTCATTAAGTAAAGAATAATCAACCGTAGAACACAGATTAAGTTCATCGTGTTACATAACCTAGCAATTCGAGACACAGTTCGATTAATCGAACGTTCGAAAATTTAACGTTTCAATATGTGGAATTATAGAAATATTACATGCAACAAGTTTTGAAGTTACTTGATTCATTAAATAAAGAATAATCAACTGCATAGCGTGCATTGATATCATCAAATTTATTACATAACCTAACAATTGGAGA